CAGGCTCTCGAAGGACTGGGAGGAGAGGGTCTCTCAGCCGAGGGTTATAACATCTCCCCAGGGTGTTGTATGCCCGCACGTCAGGATGAGCACAAGAAAATGCCTGAGAATGTATGGTAAGTGCCGGCGAGGCGAGCACGCTACCAGGACAGTTGCCGCGAATTTGTGGCTGCTGGCATTGGGACTGTAAACCCGAGCGGAGTTTGGACCGTCAATTTCTCGACCCGAAGCTGCAGCCGTCAGAATTTCGCGGAGAACCGCACGCTTTGTGCGTGTGGAATCAGCACGTTCGGACTGGAAAATTGACGGTCCTCAGGTGCGAAATTTGCAGTCCTTTCGAATCCCGCTCGGCAACGCTTACCAGGACTCCGCACGGTGGCAAAATGTCGTGCAAGCTCTCTGTAACGCGATCGCACCCCAGGAAACGCTTCGGAAGCTCAACGAAACTATATTTTTGACCGCTCTACCTACGCCGACCGTCCCCAGAATTTTCCGTCCACAGCTCGTCCCAGACGCGACTCCTTCGAACCACCACCTCCGCCAGACGCGCCTCCTCCGCTTTTGGCAACGCTTAGGTAATCCAGTGCAGGACCGTCAATTTCCCCGCCGTGATCAGCTCTACTTCGTCTATTCTTTCTGCTTCGATCTCTATCCTCAATCAATGCCACAACCTTCTATTCCAACGTAGTAGCACCGATTGCAAAAGAAAAAAAGCTGCCACACCGGTGAGTCACGTGGTTAAGTCCGTGGACGCAAACAATACTCACGCAATTGTGGGGTTCCGAGCAGATCCAGCAGTCGCCATCATTCCAGCAAAAGTGAGGACATTTCTCAGCCTCAGCGTCACTGGCAGATATTGATGTTGCCAAAGCAGCAACAAAAGCAAGGACAAAGGGGAAACGCATTGTTTGTAAGGATGCGATATGGGATCGAATAAATCTGAAGGGGACAGTCGGAAGACGGCTTGCTTTTATGTGAAGAACCTATTCACCTGAAATCCCCTCCCGAACAGATGACATCTGCATCGTGATTGTACAATGCCGGCAGATTGACACCTAAGATCTACGTGGTGAAGCAAGGTTGATGCCAGCACGCAGTGAAGAACCTACCCACCTGAAGTCCTCTTTTGAACAGATGATATTTGCTACAATGCCAGCAGATTGACACCTAAGATCTACGTGGTGAAGCCAGGTCAATGCCAGCTCACAACAAGGACTAAGTACTGATCAGCTTGTTGTTTGTTCTCCTTCTGCTTACAGTGTATTGCATATTAAACTACATTGACTTTTCAAAACTCGCCCACGTGCGCTGCGGTAGTTGAAACAATTTCAGATTCAAGAACATCCACTCACCTCACCTCGTGATAACACTAGCTGAGGATTGTTCCCCCGATCACCATCAGTACGATACTATTTGCGTCGTGAACTCACGCGGTATACTTGTATTTTCTGAACGCTATTCGGTGCAATAAATCGTTGATATTGGAATTGGACCTAGTGATAACACTAATACAGGGTCGATAATGATACTTGATATATCTAGAACACATGCGGGAGAGTTTGACGCGATGAACATGATGGGTGTGGTGTAGCAAATGGGGAAAGTATGAACTATGCAAACAACAAAACGCAAAAACATATCTAGAAGTCTTCTTCCAAAGAGCTGGAGGACACATTGTCAGACGAAGCCTACGAGGTAGATTGTATACTCACAAAAGTTTGCTTGTTGCTTGGTCGGTCTTGGCATTCGTGTGGTTGACGTTCGCCTTTGAGTAGTCTGATACACGCTTTTCGAAGAAGTTCGTCTTTCCCTGTAGCGAGATCATGTCCATGAAGTCGAAGGGGTTGGTGGCATCGTACACCTTGTCGTTGCCCAGCGACACTAGTAAGCGATCTGCGACAAACTCGATGTACTGGCACATGAGCTTGGCATTCATGCCAATGAGACCAACAGGGAGAGCATCTGGAAAGATAATCAGCATAACAAAGACAAGATGACGGCAACGACGGACCCGTCAGGAACTCCTGCTCGATAGTGACAGCCTGAGTAATGATACACTTCACGGTGTCGGGGTGTGGCCGACGCTTGAGATGGCTAAAGAGCAGGCAAGCAAAGTCGGTGTGCATACCCTCATCACGGCTGATGAGTTCATTGGAGAACGTAAGACCAGGCATCAGACCGCGTTTCTTCAGCCAGAAGATAGACGCGAAGGAGCCAGAGAAGAAGATGCCTTCGACAGCAGCGAACGCCACCAAGCGCTCAGCGAAAGTGGAACGTTGATCGGAAATCCACTTGAGTGCCCAGTCAGCCTTACGCTTGATGCAAGGAATAGTTTCTACGGCGTCGAAAAGGTATTCGCGCTGCCGGGGATCCTTGATATAAGCGTCAATGAGGAGTGAGTAGGTCTCGGAATGAATGTTTTCCATCATGATTTGGAAGCCGTAGAAGCATCTGGCCTCGGCGGCCTGAACCTCGTTGGAGAAACGTTCGACGAGGTTTTCATTAACAATGCCATCGGATGCGGCAAAGAAGGCGAGGACATGTGAGATGAAGTGACGCTCGTTGTCATTGAGACGGTTCGTCCAGTCATGGATATCTTTTGAGAGGTCCATCTCCTCAGCAGTCCAGAAAGATGCCTCGGCTTTCTTGTACATTTGCCATATCTCGGGGCAATGTTAAAACAAAAACCGAACAGAACAGGTTGCAACACACCTCATGGTACTGAATAGGGAAAAGAACAAACCGGCGCTTAGATTCTTTGAGCAAAGGCTCTTCGCCTGAGATGGACAGTTAGGTTGGAATTCATTTCACGAATGAAATTGTGCCACTGACTTTCAGGCAAGTCAACTTCACCAACGAACTTCTTGCGAAGCTCCTCAAGGTTGTCCTCGTCTTCAGGCTCCAGGCCCTCGGCCTGCTCGGAATCTGGCGAGACAGAGCGCTTGCAATCATCAATAAGGGGAAGGGTGTCGTTTTTCGATGGTTTGGCTGGCGAATCTAGAGAGAACGCTGCGAGGGCAGCAGCAGCCTAGTGATTCAAGACATTTCAGTAGAGGAACACAGTTGGTTTTGGATTGCGCAAACCTTCTTGCTTGGTGTTGGAGCAGGGGAGGGTATACGAACAGGAGCAAGGATTGATGCCATTGAGAGCAGACGTGATATGGATAATAGAATGATATCGCAAAAGATGGAGGAGCTAGGTTGAGGAGCAAAACAGAAGTTGAATTTAAACATTTCATTACGCGACGCGTTGTTGGTTGTTGTGGACGTGGAATTATGGACGCGTTCCCACTGGCCTACGAGGTTCTATTCATAGTTAAATTTAGAACATTCTGAAACCTTCAACTTCTGAAACTACTATGTGACTACTTTGAGTGAAACAACAACTTGAGTGGCGTTATAGATAATGGGGCAAGATTATAAACCACCACAGTGGATCCACCAAGCACTGTGAATATTTGCGGAGCCTTTCAGCTATACGATATCGACTTCACCCTACCATAGCAAAGGGATTTATGTCAGGAGAGCTAATGATCACGCGCAAGGAAAGATCACAAACGACAGCAGGACAAATAGATTCATCGGTTTCCCAGACAGCCTGTGATCCGTTATTATAAGCCAACTTCGTCGGTGCCACCTGCTTATAAGTGCAGGCCATGTTCTGTGTTGAAACGTAACATAAGTGAGTAACAAAACTCCTTAGACGAACAAAAGAGGCTCACCTGCATCTTTCAGGCATGTGCTGCATACTAAAGCCGTCCTCGAAACCCATCAAGTCGGTGAGACATGCTTACATGACGTGCTTTGTGTCCTGGTGGTTGGACTGGATCCTGACTAAATCCCTGGGTCACTGAAGGTCAGTGACGAAGGTGTTGTTCGTGACATAGGTCAAGTTGAGCATCTGTGCCGTTGCTTGGTCTGTTATTCAACAAATACGTGCGGGTAGACATACACATGCTCATTAGCAGGGTCAGCGATAGCCTCGAAGTTGAGGGAACTTTTGGAGCCTTCGCCAACAATTCTCTCGTTGAGAGTAGACTGCACGTGCCAGAGCATATCCGGCAAGCGAAGCAAGAGTGAGACTGCCACTGATGGTGTTGACCTTCACGGAATAGAAGTCTAGGGCGGCGAGAGTACGATCCCCTCTTCCATCTCTGCATTTAAGCCTACCATGACTCATGTATTATGGAAAAATCATCCTGAGATCGTGATGAGTCCACAACTTATACCATGCGGCAGAGCAGGGGCGTCGTGACATTTCTGGGGTGAACTTGATACTTCAGAAACAACGCAAAAAAAAATCGGGTTATTCAATTGGCACAAGTGCGAGCATGATGGCGAATGGATGCTTGGAATGGATCCAAGCATAGCAACCTTTGACTCGGGTCCAGATGCCAGATGATAATTTACCCCCCACGAAAAACCAATCCTCCTGCATAAATTTGGCATAAATGTCATCCTGTACTTCCTCAGCGCACCTTTCTATTGCCAGAATTGTTCCCTGCCCCGTATCACCACGCTCAAGCTCTTAATCAAAAGAAATTCGTCATGAATTTGTCGTTGACGATACTGAAGGCGATGATCAGTAGCCGGCAGAAGGCTGCAGGGTGAGAGAACCTGCTATAGAACAACGCCGAGGAGCTGGATAGGATGGAATTCGAAGGTGTGCGTCCGCTTATGGTACTTCATGTGTATGGGGAGCGACCTCTACCGCGCAAGGAGGACTAGTGTGTTCGAGGAACAGGCGAGGGACTTCGTGTGGACCTGCAGGAAGAGTGGTCGATATGCGTGGATCAGTGCAAGGCCGTCAATTTCCCCGTGATCAACTTTGTGGCACTTTCCATTAATATTACGTGAATCCATCCTTCGAGCGTTAGCATTTCCTCTAGGGTATTATTGAATAGTAGTTATCATAAAAGCCGCCGTTGGTGCAAAAATTTGTGGTTGCATAGGGAGCTCTTTGATCTCGAACATGACAGAGATCAAAGTAACAGTAAGCGAAACTGGTATATGTGATGCTGATTATTTAAGTATGAACGAACAAACGGTATCCTCAAATATCTCGTACAAGATTTCTAGAGATTACAGATTCCACATTTCACTCTCCCGGCTCTTAATTCGCTGTGCTATGATCTCGAAAGCCTGTGCTGACAGTCCCATGTGGTCTAGCAACTCAAAAGAGTAATCTTTCACGACGCTCAACTTTCGCAATTCTTCTGGAACTTCCTCTGGTAATAGTGTCTTCGTTACACCATACATCTGGTCCTCAGCTTCCGTCCATGCCTTCAGGACAGTATTGCGTGGGCGAGCGAACTCGACATATCTCCAACGGTCCCCAAATGCGACGACCATGCCAATCTTGTGAAGGCTGGAGTCTCCCACAAAGGCAAAGGCCGCTTGCTGGGAGATCTGCTTCTTGATGCTTGGGAAAGGGGACACCCCACCACGAATTTTTTGTCTTGACAATTTTGGCTTGTTCTCCACCATCAGAATGACCTTCTGACGACCTAGGATGGGGGTACCGTTCTTTGAAGTGGTTACATGCTGCAAGACCTGGGCAAAATCGGGGATAACCCGCGTTTTCTTCGATTTTGCCGCTGTCCCAGGGGACAGCGCCTCGAGATTGTACTGGTGCGATAGGACGTATTGCGGTGCGATGTTGCATGCGACTGTAGCCGTATTCGAATTGGAAAACATCCAGTCCTTAATTGCGATATTCCATACCAGGTACCACGGGAACTCGTTGTTGTTACGATCACACCGAGCTGCTGTCACGGCAGCGATTAATGCGAAGTCCTTCAACATCGGGTGCTGCTGTATAACTGAGTGGTGGGAGGGCTGCTGGAGGGTCCGTTGATGAACGGTGGGGTGCTGGAGTGTTTTCTTCCTAGCACGTTGGCTACTATTTGCAAACAGGGTATCGTTATGATGTCCGATCACGGGTGGAAATGAAGGGGCCAAATCAGTACTAGGCACAGACGGTCTCACAGATGGTCCAGAAGAGACGACCCGGTGTCTGCCAGAGGATGATGCCATACCAGACCCACCGACACGAGGAGGTAGAGGTAGGAAAGGTGCTGGTGCAGCACTGGGGGACGGATGCTGCGCTCGCGCTGTAGACGAAACTGCCCTGGATTTGTGAGCACTAGGGGAGTGGAGCATGGGTTGGGTAATCGAGGAGAATGAAGGGCGACGGAATGGTGGGGGGTGATTGGACTCATTTGATGGCGGGGCTACTAGGAATGGAGCACGTGGGTGCAAAGGCCCACGATCACCAGCGCGGTAAGATGCAGTACCTGGAATGCGCGGAGGTGCCAGGTTGGCAGCGCGGTAAGATACGGCATCTGGAGTTCGCAGAGGTGCTGGATTAGTAGCTCGGTATGACGCAGCATCTGGAGTGCGTGAAGCATAGTTCCCTGGAAAGGCATACGGCATTGCTTGGCAATTGATTGTGAATGGAGGGCTTAACTTTCCTTTCCTCATCAATGGGATCAAACCTCGAGCTTTATATCGTGCTGCGCGGCCATTCGGTATGCTTGAAAGTTGACAACTGTCACAGTGGATCTGTGGTTGGCGCATTGTCCAGTGATACTCGCATCTAACTGGATGGATTCGATCATGTTTCGGTGGACACCATACATATGCGAAGAGTCCCCACTGTCCCAAAAAATCAATTGGATTAGCGCTAGCGGCTGTGGGTTGATGACACTCGTCCACAATCCACACTTGATGTGTGGCTGTGTAACGCCAACCACATACTTAAATAACGCAGACTTGCGAAGGTCTTGTCTGTCCCACATAGAATAACTCTTCCAAGAGCTAGTACTCGTTCTTGCCTCTCTATCCTGAACATGTCTTCTCTTCTTTCGAAGTCGCTTGAAGCCCTAAAGGTAGGCCTCTTCTCCTATGGTTGGTTTTTGTTCTGATAGCTTTAAGATCACGACCCCGCAGCAGACCGATGATTCCATGAGACGGCGACCCTTCAAGCTTGTCCGTCCACCAAGGCAACCTCATGTTCAGTACTACGGCTATGCCGTCTCGCCCGAGTGGCTTGTCCAGTTCACGGAGCAACATTGGCCGGGCGCATTGCCCGAGCGAAACGATATAGGCTACGAGTACATGGCCGCGACACGGGCATTTGAACTACTTCTGGATTGGTCAGGCATCTTCACTTTGGACAGCAAGGATTGCTTCAATCCCAAGGGCGGCTCTGTACCTCCAGAATGGATTGCTCTGTATGATGGTGATGAAGATGATGATGAAGCCGACGACGAACACCCGAACATTCAAATTGACACTGTTCACGTGTTTGCTCTGTGCTCGGATCAAAATGAGTCCTTTGAGGCGCGCCCTACGCAGGAAAGGGTCGATTTTATGACGAATTTGATCGGGCATACGCCGCAATGGTGGGTGAGCTGTGGGTACGCAGATTAATACAAGTAGCAACCGGGTGGAACGAAGCTCATGTACTGTTCTCATTGCACATATGTATCGGGTCTCTGCCGTGAAAGTAACCGTATTAGACCAAATATACGGAAGACGGCGAAGCGCGCCACCTTCATGGCACCTTACCCTCGGGCGGTGATAGGACAGGATAGGACGCCCATGCTCAGCCAAACTTGCGCTCCTGACCTATAGAAAAATGAAGTTTCTGTGCAGCAGAGCGGGGGCGTCATGACATCTCCGGGGAGAGCTCGATGCTGCGGAAACAACGCAAAATTGTTCGGGTTATTCAATTAGCACGATGGCGAGTAGATCATGATGGATCTAAGCAGGAACCTTGGTCTGCTGACGTAAGATAATTTACCAAGGTCATGAATTACTGAAAGGCGGCAATTTCAATGGTTTCAAACCTTTCTGAAAATAACTGTGATCTATGAATCTCCAAGTTACTCCTCGTCCCCTTGAGGGCATCACAGTCTATGATAGCGACTCGAATGTCCTCGAGCCTGAGTAAATCCAGCAAGGCAACCTCATGAGGAGTGATACTGTTGTGCGTTCAATTCAGCGCTCGGTACTACACGATAGTTACTCATGATTTACAGAGACATGCTTTCCATCAGCCTGAAAAGCCAGCGTGAAACAGGTTCTTCAAGTCCATCTTTCGCTCCCTCCCGGCGATATCCTCGTATTTATAACGGGACAAGAAGACATAGAAATCACTTGTCAGGTTATTAATGGTATGTAAGCACCAATAAGATGATCATCTCAACGACGCCAACATTGTAAATTCAATGTACCAACTTTGGGTCTTGGGTGCGCTGGATAACCTTGGCGATTTGACGCCTGTGGTGGGAAAATGTCCGAGTTCCCCAATGCCTATGGAGCCCTCCATGGCCAAGATGCTCATCAGAGATGTTGACTATTGTGTCCATGCTTTCGGTGCCAAGTATCTTCTACAGACCAAAGGAAAGGATGGAAGAGGCCGATGCGGCACGTGAAAAATTTAACGTACCAGAGAGCGACCATTTTGTTGAATGTTTTCAACCGGTGGAAGAGCCACGGGTGAGTTTGTTCATCTTGATATTACCAGCGGACGCTCATCATGACTCGTAACTTCCGTGATGACTGGGCTACACGTCATTTTCTGCATCCAAAATTGCTCCGCAAGGCTCGTGAAGTCAGGGCTCAGTTGGAGGACATCATGAAGTTCCAGAAAATGGATATTATTTCTGCAGGCACAGACTTCGACGTCGTTAGGTACCGCACAGTCGCCGAACAATTATGTCACATTGACCTTTTTCGCAGGAAAGCTATCATTGCTGGCTAGTTCCACCAATGTGCACGTGTGAAGGGTATTGGCAAGTATGTCAATATTCGTACTGGCTTGCCGACACATCTGCATCCCACGAGTGCACTGTGCGGTCTTGGTTGTACGTGACTAATCATTTTTCTCTGAGTGTCGCTGACAACGACGAAGAAACCCCTACATACGTTCTTTACCACGACTTGATCTTGACGTCCAAGGAGTACATGACACAGGTCACCGCGATTGATTCCATGTGGCTAGGTATGGCAATTCGTCTTACACATTCATCCTGGCGTAAACTAGTGATGGTTGTAGCGGAGTTCGGTTCGGTGTTCTGCTCGGTCAAATTCAAGGACTTTGATGATCGTGGAATGAGGCAACAAGCTGATCGAGCATTCTCAAGAAAAGCTGAACTGGAATCCTAAATCGTGAAGCAAAGAGAAGAGTACGTGACTGACGATCCCAAGAAACGACTTTTTTGATTGATACCCATTGTAGGAATGCACGGCGAGAGGTAGAAAAAGTTCTCGCGGTCAAGGTGTCGAGTGGAAGCGGCTCAAAAATGATCGTGCCTAGGACGCCGAGACATCTTTTGGCACAATCAATTTCATGGCTGTCTACGTTCTATATATTAAACGCAGTAGTACTCGGCACCGGCAGATCTAAGATCTCCAGCACTGAGTACTCATTGATCATTGCTGGGTGAGTGGGGTGTCTTATGCTTCCCTCACCGAATTAGTAACTAACGATATTTGTCCCAGCCGTCCGCGCCTCAGACGTTGATTATTCTAAGAGTACAATACACAATATACAACATACAAGACCTAGCTTCATATCATACCAAGAACCACGATAAATAAGACAAATTGCATAGGGAACACAGATGTAGTATGCAACGATATCCATACGAATAAACATCATGAAATGAGGAAGACTCCTACAGTATTCCCAAACCCTGCCATCGCAGCTCCGCGGATCGCAAGGAAGGGAGACACCCGCGTGAATGGAATGCGGGGGTACTCTTCTGGTACCGCAGTCGGTGAGGGTGGCTGGCTCAGGTACATTGAAGGAAGAAACGACCGCCGGATAGAGAGAGGAAGGTCATCAGTAAGGCTCGACAGAGCAGTACTTCGAGTTTTTGAGACACCAGTATCGAACAACCAGATCTCCCACCGGTCCAGAACCGCGGATGTTAGTCCACGCGATGTCGAGGAAGGTGGAAGTAGGGGTGCGCCTTTTGTGTGCGCCCGGGATACTCGGCGGACGCCTATTACTTTTTCGCCTGCAATGTCCCAGCCTCCCCGCTCGCATGCCGCACCACCCGCTCTGAGAACGGCGACATTCGACCACGTTGACGGACGTGATATTGGTGGGTCGATGCAGGTGGAATAGCCATCCTCATCGTCATCTGTTAGATGGGGTAGCACGTAGCTCTCCGAAAGGCGGCGCAGTCCTTTTTCTGAGGCTCTGCGGGAGAGAATCCCATGGCCGGAAACAGGAAACGCAGAAATGTCTGGTGCAGGCGCATTACTAGCAGAGGACAGCCTGCGAGTGGATGTCACGGAGGATGGCCCTGTAGTAGAGGCTATGCTACTACTTCGTGAGCGCCGACCCGTAGCGAGCTCCAGAATGGTCGATTGTTGTGGATTGTTCCGAGGGCACGTACACCTCCTTCCCTGCGACGTGACGTAAACCTTGTAGAAAATAACATCATTGCCAATCGAGACAGAGACCATGAAGCTGTCCATGGGTGGTTCACCACAGAACTGGCAGTTCACGACACGAGAGTTGGATATCCGTAGTTGGTCGATACCCCCATGGTTTTCCTCTAAGATGAAGATGCACTCAGAGGAACCAGCATCCCACAAGGAAATGACGCCAGCCGCTGAAGCGACGCCAATGATTATATGATCCCTGCCATCTAGCCTGACTTTACACGCGTCCACCTCGCTGACCCGGTCTACTGAGCTGCCTGCTTGCAGCGCACAGCGGATTGGCACAGTACTCCGAGCTTCGCAGACGCCGAGCACCTCCAGCGATCCATCTGCCAACACGAATGCCGCCAATATCCGGTTGTCTGAGCGAACACGAAGAAGATGACTCTGCAAGATAGGCTCGGATGAGATTGGGGAGATGAATGACGCTGACGTGTGGCTCTCCATCATCCATTGGGCAATGGCTCCATTCTCATACGCAACGACGAGGGGCTCTGGTTCAGGAGGACCAGGCGGAGGCGTGCATGGGCGAGACTGCGGTCCATTCTTCTGCGACAGCACTGATTGAAGCGGGGGCGCAAAATGCAACTCCTTAATCCCGGCCGAGATCGAGTGTGGCGCAAGGGTCGCATATGGTTTTGCGGTCCTCCCCGCAATGAACCATACCCCAATTGTCCCACATGTCGTCCCTATGGCACAATACTCTCCTGCGTCATCCAAGGCGACAGCAGCTATCCGCTCCTGCGAAAATGATGTACTGGCTGTACTCAGAAAAACGCCGCTTGTATCGACGAGGATAGGGCTTGGGTCATTAAAGTGCCATATGCTGAGCTCGTTCTGCAGTCCAACGGCAGCTATCACTTCGCAGTCTTTGCTTGATGCAAGCAGCTCGACATCGGTCGCAAAAGCGCGTGGTAGTGTCTTGAAAGAGGCTTGTCCATTCAGTGGCTTTTCACCCCCAGGAGAAGGTACATCAGCCTCTGCACGGTTCCGCTGTGCCTCGAGTAGCTCCGCATCTTTCAGCAAGTACAGCAGCAGTCCATAAAGCGTGGCGGTGGTCACGCTAATTGGCAGGACGACGAACTTAAAGAGCCAAAAGATGAGGTTAACGGGAGGTGCAAGCCCAGAGGTATGCTCGTGACCCTGTTCTACCCTTGTATCAGGCTGAAACGCGACAACGGTAGGGACTTCAAGACGAAGATGAACTAGTGGCTCTTCATCGGGATTGAGGGTCTTCCAAACACGCCAGGAGGGATCTTGCGAATCTGGGCGACGGTGAGCCGCATGCATGCGTTGCTGAGCGGTGGAAGGAATGATGAATCCTGCCTCGGTGTCACGCGCAGCAGGTCTCGTCATAACATACAATGTTGCTGTGATAGCAAGAAGCTAGGGAGACGTGAGCACATAGACATATAGAGCTCAAACTCATCTACACACCAGTAACAGGCTGATATTCGTCAACGCGCGACCCTTTAGTGATTCCTTCATATTGAGGGTGACTTGCTGCCATTTGGA